GCCCAGTGCAGCAGAGGAAGCCTGGTCAGAGCTGTCCTTTAAACGCCTGCACTCTGCTTTGGGGAGCACTGGGGGGAAATCCTCATTCTGGACTTCAGACGCTTCCCATCTTGTTTTAATGGGGAGGCCCCAGAACCAGTGCAGAAACCTACATGCAGGGGTCCTGCAGCGAGACAAGGAACAAGCTGTTAGCAGTAATTACTACAAGGCTGACTGGCAGGACTTACAGCCTCCCTGGATGTGACCCTTGCTCAGGAAGGAAGCACTTGGAGAACAGGCAAATCCCACTCCCACAACAGATCCCATCCTGCCTGGGCACTATTCCCAGTGCCATGCATTGGCATTCCCAAGGCCTCCGGGAGCTGTAGCAGCAGATGGGCTGGCAAAAGGAGCCAAGGCAGAGCTTGAAGGCCCTTTCTGCTGTTTTGCCTCATGGAAGGAGGGCTTTGGGTCTCCGAAGGAGCTCTGGGCACTGGGAAGAGCAGCAACCTGTCAATAATGGCATGCTCAGAGCTCTGTCCCTCCTCTTCCTCCCTGGTGCCGCACAGCCAGTGGCTGCATTGCTGTCAGTGGGGTCACTGCTCCTCCGGAGCTCCCCATCCCTCCGCTGCTGCAGGCTGGATGCCCGCTCAGGCAGACGATGGGCTCTTTGTGCCAGTATGTGCAAGCGCTGGAGGAGACCTTGTGCAATTTATCTCCTGCTGCAGGACTGCCCTGCAGTGATTTCCTGGGCTAGTGTTTAGCCTGCAATTAAATCCCACTGCAGTGATGAGGCTTCAGCCGTGGGTGAGAGTGGCAGAGGGATCTGCTCTGTCCTGGCTGTAGGAGCTCAGGACAGCGCTGCTTTCTCAGTGCAATCAGTGCCCCTGCCCCTGAAGCTGCTCCACTTCAGCCAAGTCTTGGCTGCTCAGCCCAGTCCATCCCAGCATGGGCCATAGGAAGAGTGTGAGGGCACCAGGGAGCTTCCTCCTGAGGGCCCCATGGAGCTGGGCTCTGCGTGGGGAACTTGCTGCAAGCAGCCGTTTGCAGGTACCAACCCTGCCTGTGCATGGACACGGCGTTACCGTGCTGCCTGCAGAGCAGACACAGCCACACCGAGTGCTCTCTGTTTAATGAGCTTTCACAAGGGATGAAGCCAGCCCCGGGCTGCGGCTCTGCCTGGGGTGCGCTCCGTGCCCCTGCCCAGCTTCGCCCTCTCCGTCCCGCAGGTCTGCGAGAGCGTGGCCAAGTCTGTGCGCAGCGAGCTCCAGCCTTACGCCCAGACCCTGCCAGGTACCGGGGCTGCACGGGGCTCGGGGGCAGCAGCTCACTGTGTGCCCCTCCATGAGGGCAGTGTTTTACCCGTGTTACTGGTGGGGATGCAGCTGCTGTGCCCGGGTACCCAGAGCATCCCTCAGTGCAGCAGCGGCTGAGAAACCGCCAGGGGGGAAACGGGAGGGTTTGCTTGTGAACACACATGAAGCTGTGTTTTACAGTCACAGCCAAGATCGATGCCGTGGCTGGGATCGATTACTCCTTGGTGGCACCCCCAGCTGCTACTGCACAGTCCCTGGACGTGGACCTGAAGGTGAGAGGCTGCCCTGGGAGAGCCGATGCCTTCACACAGGCGGTGGGGAGCAGGTTTAGCACCTGCTGCAGGTGCTGTTTGCCACCCCCTGCTCTCTGCTTCACCAGGGTGAATTCTTCTCCCTGGCTCACCGCTCCGCCGTCCCCTTCCCTCCGCTGCCGCTGGCCTTGCCCCCAGACCACGACCGCATGGTTTACTTTGGAGCCTCCAGCTACTTCTTCAACACCGCCAGCTTCGCCTACCACGCAGCCGGGGCGCTGGGCTTCGAGATCACCAACTCCGTGGTGAGCAGCGCACTGGGATGGGGCTGTCCCTGCTGGGGGCCATGGGCACTGAGCTCACCATGGGCTCGGCTGTGCCGCGCTGCCCTGCCATGGCTGCTCTCCTGCCACAGATCCCAAAGGGCGTTGAGTTCCACTTGAACACCTCCACCTTCTCAGCCTTCGTTCCCCAGGTGCGTGCCCGGCTCCTGGGGTTTGCTCCATGCAAAGTGGTCTCCCCCACAAAGGGATGGGGTTTGTGCTGCTGTCCCTACCTTCTCCCTGCCCCTCTGCAGCTGGAGGAGATGTACCCGCACATGGAGATGAAGGTCAGGCTGTCCGCCCCTTCCGCCCCATTCCTGACCATCGGACCGGATGGGCTCTCCCTCAAGCCTGTTGTGGATATCCAGACTTACGCCATCCTCCCCAACTCCACCCTGGCTCCTCTCTTCCTCCTCAGCCTGGTGAGTTGTGACCGTGGCCCTGCTGGGGCAGCTCAGGGTGCATCCACAGCTTCAGCTGCTGCTGGGTGCCCATGAGCCCTGCCCTGCATCCCAGTGCGACAAAGACTTGGGCTGTGCAGCATCCCCCTGCTGTGCTCAGCATCGCTGAGCCACTGCTGCGAGCTCCTGCCGGTGCTGCCTGGCACCAGCCTGGTCCTGGTGGAGTGGGGATGTCCCCACCAGAGAACACCCGAGCTGACACAAGCCAGGTTTAACGCGGTGGGGAAGGCATGGGTGGATGGGCAGCGCCCTGCTGCCTTTTGGCTGCTCAGAGCCATCCTGGGTGCCTGGTGTGGGGGAGCGCTGCCAGAGCCCTGCTCTCTCCCAGACAGGCAACGTGTCCGCTGTCATCGACGTGAAATCTGGCCACATAGTTGGGAGCCTGAAGGTGGGCAGGTACGGAGGGGGAGCAGCCGGGGGCCCTGGGGTGCTTCTGGGCTCTGGGGACAGAGGTGAGGTGGGGAGATCCCAGAATGTGGACCTGGTGTGGAGGGGATGCGGTGGGGCTGGAGGGAGCAGGATCCATGTGCAATCAGTGGGTAGGAAGTGCCCCTCCATTGGGACACTGCCACAGCACCACTGCTGTCCCTGTGCAGGTTGAAGCTCTCTCTGAAGCATTCGGATGTGGGCACTTTCCAGGTAAACCCTCCCTGACCATGAGCAGAGCCCCAGCATGGAGGCGAGAGCCTGCTGGGGGGCAAGGAGAGGGCTCATTCCCCTCTGCCCCCCAACACTGGGAGCTGGGGTGCCCCCAGGGTGCAGAGCCGGATGCTGTTGCCTCCCTCACCCCTACCCTTCCTACCCTGCCAGCATGGCCAGAGCTGCTGGTCTCTGGCAAAGCGTGTGCCCATCGCAGCTCCTTCTCTCCTTTCCCTTCCCGTGCCATCTCCTGCTCTCCCGCAGCCTAAAGCTCTCCTCCTTCCTCTCTCCCTGCTCCCCAGGTGCGAATGCTCCAGTCCATCATGAACGTCCTGGCTTCCAACATCCTGCTCCCACGTCTTAACGGTGAGAACCTGCTGCGGGGCTGCGGGGCTGCAGCCAGGCACGTTCCTCCATCCAAGCAGGTCCAGCTCCTCAGTTAAAACCCCATTGCCAAGCCTGATCCATGGGTAAAGCCCACAAGTGGGCTGCGGGCAGCGGCGTCACGAGCTTCTCAGTGCTGTGATGTGCACCCAGCAGTGAATGCAATGGAAGACATGAGCACGATGCACATCCTGATGCTTTCAGCCCCTCTGCTCCCCTCGCTGCTTCTTGTGACTCCCCAGCAACTCAGGCCAGAGCAGGGCTGGGCTCCAGGCATGGCACAGTGGCACAATGTCCCCCAGCCTGGATGGGGAGCTTGGGAGGAATTTCCTCTGCCTGCCCTGGGGGCGACATGGGTGAAGGAAGGGTTAGGGGGAGGCAGGCGCCCGCTTTGCAAGGCCCGTGCTCCCTCTTGCTCCCATTGCCATCCCAGCATGGCCACGTGTGTGTGTTTTGCAGAGAGGTTGGCGCAGGGCTTCCCTCTGCCGCTGCCAGACAGGATACAGCTCTCCAACATCCTCGTGGGGTTTCACCAGGTGAGTGAGGGGAGCACTCGGGGTGCAGAACCGCCCATGGTGGGCAGCAGGGACCGCGCATCATTCTGTTCTTGAACCCAGGGTCTGCGTTACCCATGACACTTGTTACAGCACACACAGCTCCGCAGCAGCGTCAGCCCCGAGCCCCGTGCGGCTGGGGTGCTGCGTGTGAGCACCCACTGCACACATCTGTCTGCGGTGGGGCAGGCAGCGCCTGCCAGATGTGCTGGAAGGAGCCTTGCGGGGGCCTGGGGCGAAGCCCCTGCTGTGGGGGGCCTTGGGGGAGCCCCAGAGCAGTGCCACGATGGGGATGCTGAGTGGCCCTATTGCAAGGCATGGCTGTGAAAAGTCTCCAGCGCCCTTCCAGGGCTAGAATCAGGCTCCGGGCTGTCAGAACCACGCTCCCTCCCGCGATGGGGTCGTGCTGGGGAACACAAGTGCCAGGGCCTGTCACAGCCTCGTGCTTTTATTCCTTCCCTCCCAGAATTTCCTGCTGCTCGGAGCAGACGTCCAGTACCAGCCCCAGAGACGGAGATAGAGCCGCAAGGAGGACCTCAGGCATCAGCCCTGTTCCCTTCACCCCTTTCCTATCCCTGGGCCCTGCTGCTGGGGCTGAAGGCATTAGCTCATGTCCTGGACCGGGCAGCACCACCCGGCGCCGAACCCCGCATCCCCCCGCCGGGTCCCTGGTCCCACCCATCCCGGCCGTGGCTCCATCCCACTCCCGGTCCCATCCCGCCCCCGGTCCCATCCCGGCCGATGGTTCCATCCCACCCCTGGTCCCACCCCACTCCGTCCTTCCCCAGTAAAGGCGGCTGTGCCGGTGCGGTGTTTGTCGGAGCTGGTACCCCCCGTTCCGGCTCTTTGCATGGTGAAGCCCTAAAGCACCGTCATTAACACCGTTATTAATACACACCGTTATTGATACACACCGTTATTAACACTGTTATTAACACACACCGTTATTAACAACGGTATTTTCACCGTTACTGCCCGTTTCCACGGCCGGGCGGAACCGCGGTAGCGCGGAACGCAGCGCCGCGGCCAGGGAGGGGGGTGGGACCGCTTAGTGGCGGGGCCACGACCGGTCCGTCCCGCTAAAGGCTCCGCCGCACCCGGCGCGGCCATGCTACCCTGGGGCCGGGCGCTGCGGGCCGCGGGGCTCCTCCGCTCGGCCGGGGCCGCTGCCGCTGCCCAGTGCGGGGCTGCCCGCCGGGAGCGCTGCGGGCCGGGGCCGGGGAAGCGGCGTGGGACCAAGCTGCCCGCGGGGCCCGACCTGCGGCACTTCCTGAGGGGAGCCGCCAAGCGGGAGCCGCCGCCGGAGCCGGAGCCGGGCCCTGTTCCCAGCAGCGGGAGAGGTCTGTGGGGCTGCGGTGCCGCCGCTCTCCCCGGGGTTTGCGGTGCCTGCGGCTGCGGTAGGGACCGGCGGGGCCCGGAGCGCCGAGTCCGTGCAGCGAGCGCGGGGGAGCGGGGGCTCCGCGGGCCCTGGAGGGGTTGGACGAGCCCGGCTCGTTGGCGGCTCCCCGCTGGGAAGCTGCGCTGGGTCCCGGCTGCTCTGGCCCCTCTGTGCGGGGCTGGGGCAGCGCCTCCCGCTGTGATGCTTTGGGAAGGGCTGCTCGTGCCCTGGATGTGGTGTCCCAGCAGTGAGGTCGCTCCCGCTGCTCTGCAAGCGCCTGTGGCAGTGCCGTGCTCTGAGGCACTCGCGTTGCCCAGGCTCATCTTTGTCCCTGGTGTACCCCTGGGGTGCGTGCTGCGGGTGAAGGCAGCCTTGGTGCAGCCCCCCTGGCTCTCCAGTGGTGGGGCTGAAGGTGCCTTCCTCTAGGGCAGGTGGCAGGAACAGGCTGTAGATGGGAGCTGAGGCAGGCTCCTGGGTCACAGCGCCTGTGTTGCAGTGTACCTGGAGACGTACGGCTGCCAGATGAACGTCAATGACACGGAGATCGCCTGGGCCATCCTGCAGAAGAGCGGCTACACCAGGACAAAGCAGCTGGATGAGGTGAGGCCTGTGCCTGCGAGCCCCAGCCTTTGTCTGGAGCAGAGCCCTGGGGGGTGCTGGGATCTTTGTAGCTGAGGTTCTGTGGAGCGAAGGAAACATCTAATAAGTGCGCTGGGAAGCTGCGGGCTGGCTTCTTCCTTTCAACTGCCGGGCTTGCTCTCAGCTGGAGAGGGATTGGGCACAGTGGGATGCTCCTGACTCGTCTTTGAGTCAGGTTCTCTCATGCAGCGGAAGACTCTGCTGGTTTCCTGGTAGTTTCTTGCACCTTTTTAGTTGAAACCACCACACACTTGGGCAGATCCTTTCCAGTGCTTTAAGTGGTTTTCCTGGTCTGCCTCCTCAGGTTACCCTGCAGGGGGTAGCAGTTAGCGTCTGGCTGTTACAGAGTCTTCTCCCTCTTTTGTCCTTCCATCCAGGCAGACGTGATTCTCCTGGTCACCTGCTCCATCAGGTAAGGAAGCTTCTGGCACTGCTGCTTTGGGACAGTGTTTGAGGAGCTGCCGTTTGAAAACCAAGTCGATGAATGTGTTGTGCGAGAGGAGGAGGATGCAGATGGGAAACTACCTGGGTAGCTGAGGGTAGAGCTGACTTATACTGGGATGTGGAATGTGAGCTGTGCCATGAATTGCTTTTCTGTGTAGTGGGAAGAAGTTCTTCAGCGTTGTGAGCCCCATGAACAGGCCGTGGGCAGGCGCAGACCTGCACAGCTTGGTGCCTTGATGATGATGATCATTAGTTTTAAATGCGATTCTGTCTTCTCTGCAAGTGACTGCCTCTGGGGCAGGGTCTGTCCCTCAGAAACAGGGGAACCCGTGTAGGGGCAATTCGGGGTATGAATTCCAGGGAACTTGGCTTGTCTTTTCTGCATGCAGAAGATGCAGCGTGCTCGCTGTCCCCTGCAGAAGATGCAGCGTGCTCGCTGTCCCCTGCAGAAGATGCAGCGTGCTCGCTGTCCCCTGCAGAAGATGCAGCGTGCTCGCTGTCCCCTGCAGAAGGTGCAGCGTGCTCGCTGTCCCCAGCAGAAGGTGCAGCCTGCTCGCTGTCCGCAGCAGAAGGTGCAGCGTGCTCGCTGTCCCCTGCAGAAGATGCAGCGTGCTCGCTGTCCTCTGCAGAAGATGCAGCGTGCTCGCTGTCCCCTGCAGCATGGCTCGTGTTGCCTGGCTCAGCCAGGCTTTTTCTCCACAAGAGCTTAGTCCCTGAGCTGTTTCTGCAGCGCAGGTGGTGCCAAGCAAGAAAAACCATAGTAGATAAGAGTCGAGACATAATGCAGGCAGCACAGATAACACTTCATGTGGTGCCTGATTCCCTGGCTTTGGCTGAGTTCTCCTCTCAGAGCACTTGGGCTGCTTCAGGCTGTTGGAGTAAGGGCTGTTTCCTGGCTCCCAGGGAGAAGGCAGAGCAGGCCATCTGGAACCGCCTGCGGCACCTCAGCGCACTGAAGGCCCGGCGGCAGCAGCAGGCTGGCTCCCCCCTGCGCATCGGGATCCTGGGTACCTGTGCAGCAGTGGGCAGCACACAGTGTGTGCCCTGGCCCCTTGGGGTGCCACTGCCCCTCGGGCTGTTTCCTCCTCCCCTCTGGCACCACCAGGCCTTTGCTGCGGGGTGGAAGCAGCCAGCAAAGGGGTGATGGAGGGTGGGCACTTCCTCACAAGGACCCTTCTCCTTTGCTGGCAGGATGCATGGCTGAGAGGCTTAAGGAGGAGATTCTGCACAGAGAGAAGCTGGTGGACATTGTGGCAGGCCCTGATGCATACCGTGACCTCCCCCGGCTGCTGGCTGTGGCAGAGTCTGGCCAACAAGCTGCCAATGTCCTGCTGTCGCTAGATGAGACCTATGCAGACATTCTGCCTGTCCAGACTAGTGCAGGTGGCACGACAGCGTTCGTGTAAGTACCTCTTCTTCCTGTGCATGTTTCTATGGCTCTGGTTTGGAAGTGCTGCTGTGCAGAACAGACACGTCAGTGGCAGCAGCTGCCCAGGAGCTGTAATGCCTGGGTGCACTGGCTCCCAGCAGCCCAGAAGCATGAGCCTACCAGACTGAGTGTTTGCTGCTGCTTCACTGTGTGACTGAGCCCTGGAGAGGCTGCCCGTGCTCTGCCTGGCTGTGGGCTGCTCGTGCTCTCCTTGGAGGGTGCTGGTTGTCTAAGCCTGGCACTGCACCGAGTGATTCCTGTCCCCCTGCTGTCTGTATCTTTCTCAAGCCTGCTCCTCTCTCTCCTCCCTTCTGCCATGTCCTGTCACACATTCTCTTATTTAATTCTTCTAATCCTCCATGAGCTGTAACTTCTGTTGGCTTCATTTCCATTGGTTTAGTTTTGATAATAAGACTCCTAAACTTGAGATCAGATTGTGCTCAGTGTGGCCACAGAGGGATGGTATCACCCTCTGTAGGAACAGGATGCAGAAGGGTCTCTCATCCCTGCCAGGCTGTGGTGCAAGCCTGTGCCTCAGGAGTTGCTTTCCAAGTTTCTTGGAAACATGCATGAAGAATGAGGAGGTGTTGGCTGGGGGTGAGCAGAAGCCAGAGCTGGCTGGAGCAGTGTGTGAGCTGTGTTCAGAGCTGGTGCTGCGTGTGCTGCACACTGAGTGCGTCGGTAAAGGCAGTGGTTGATGAAGCAGGACTGGATGCACTGGGGATGACTCCTCTGGAGCGATGGTGGAATGACCTGTGCTTGCTCTTGGCAGATCTATCATGCGGGGCTGTGACAACATGTGCAGTTACTGCATCGTGCCCTTCACCCGTGGCCGGGAAAGGAGCCGCCCCATTGCGTCCATCCTGCAGGAAGTGAGGATGCTCTCGGATCAGGTGCGGCAGAGCCTCCCCCCATCCTGCCCAAGCCATGGGAGAAGGGCTGGTTCTCAGTGAAGGTGTTTTCAGTGGTACTTTTGATGAATGCACCACCTTTATCTGCAGAGATGAGGTTACCATAGGGTTCCACCAGTGGCTTTTTGATTCCCCTTGTAATGCTCTGAGCCAGACAGGGAAGGGAGGGCTTCCTTTGGGGGCTGCTCCTGGAAGTAAGAGTAGAGCCATGGCTGCTTGCAGTGTATCATCCTGACCGGGTTATGGTCTGTTTATTGTTGTAGGGGGTGAAGGAAGTGACCCTCCTGGGTCAGAACGTCAACAGCTTCCGGGACATGTCCGAGGTGCAGTTTCAGTCGGCGGCAGCCCCAGGCCTCAGCCGTGGCTTTAGCACAGTCTACAGAGCCAAGCCAGGAGGTTTGCGCTTCACGCATCTCCTGGACCAGGTGTCCAGGATTGATCCAGAAATGAGGATCCGTTTCACCTCCCCACACCCCAAGGACTTCCCTGATGAGGCAAGTGTAAAATGACCACGCTGTGGGCAGGCTCTGAAGTGCTACATGCGGGCTGTGCTTCCTTCCCAAAGGGATTGCTGAACCCCAGAATGGGAACAGCAGTTCCTGGGAGGGGAATGTCTGTGCTAAGGCTGTCAGGTTTGCAGTCTGCTGGCTTTCCCCTTGGCATCCTGGTAGAGTTGAGCTCTCTGCGGTGTTGCCTCCTTGTTGTTCATTGCAGGTCCTGCAGCTTATCCAGGAGCGACACAATATCTGCAAACAGCTTCACCTCCCAGCCCAGAGCGGAAGCACACGAGTCCTGGAGGCCATGCGACGGGGGTGAGTCCTGTGCCCTGCCCCCTGATTCTGGCTGCTGGTTTCTGCTCACCAGTCCTGGGTTTCTGATGAGCAAATCCATGTGTTCTTCATTGCAGATACACAAGAGAAGCATATTTGGAGCTTGTACACCACGTGCGTGACTCCATTCCAGGTGAGTGTGGTCTGGGCTCAGCACAGCTCTATCTTACTGCCTTTTCTCGAGCAGATCCTTCCTCTCTTCTTTGAGGAGGTGTAAAGCTGTGTCTCTGTTACAGGGGTGAGCTTAAGCAGTGATTTCATCGCCGGCTTCTGTGGAGAGACAGAAGAAGATCACCAGCAGACTGTGTCTTTGCTGCAGGACGTCCGCTACAACGTGGGCTTCCTGTTTGCCTACAGCATGAGAGAGGTGAGTGCAGGACCTGATGGAGCAGGTTTGTTACCTCTGGGCATCTCACCAGCTCCTGAGTGCTGTTTCCCACCATAAGACATTGTCTTGCAGAGACCTGGCTGTGGGTATGTCCTTATTTGCTGATGAGAAAGAGGTGATGGAGCTGGGCTGGAGCCCAGGGACAGAGGCTCTGTCAGTTGAGGCTGCAGAGAAGTGGTGAATTTTCAGGAGGCATTTCTCTGGGAAGAGTGGGTAACTGACAGGTCTCCATTAGAATCCTTGCCAAAGTGCGATGCTGAGGGGGTTGGGGACAGGAGGTTGAGAAACATAAGGAATACGCATCAGCTTTCATCACATGGGATTAGAAGCAGCAGAGTTTGTTGTCTGTGTGAACAAACGGGCAACAGACATCTCATAGGAGCTGCAGTGGCTCCACACAGCCACTGATACTCAGTGCCCCCCATCAAACCTTCGACCAAAAAGGTGCTGCAGAAAGAACATGAGGAACTGAGATGTTGCTGGTGCTTAGCACCTGAAAGCATTCCCTGAGGCTGTAAATGCAAGCTGTCATGTGTGGAGTTGTTGATGGAGGAGCAGACCAGGTTCTGGTCTCTGGGTACTGAGGCCAGCCTTGCTCTGTCTCTTCACAGAAGACCCGGGCGTTTCACCGCCTGCAGGACGATGTGCCCGCAGAGGTGAAGCAGCGGCGGCTGCAGGAGCTCATCACTGTGTTTCGGGAGGAGGCTGCAAGGGCCAACGAGGCCATGGTGGGCCAGTGTCAGCTGGTGCTGGTGGAGGGGGTGAGTGTGCCTGGAACAGAGTCCTCTTCCCCCCCTCTTAGGCTGTACACAGCAGTCGTCACTTCTGCCCTCCCTTCTCACTTTCCTCACACAATCCTAGGCCTCCAGAACCGTGTCTTCACCCTTAAGCTTCACACAGCCTGTCTTTTCCAGAGCCCCGAGCTGAGCACAGGGGGTGGGATAGGTTAGAGACATGTCTCTGGCCAGGCTTTGGTGTGTGGGTGTCAGCACAGCAGCTCGGCCACAGGACTTGCTAACATGGCAAGCTTAACAGTGTGCAACGGGGATTTCAGTGCTGGCAGTAGTGCTCAATTAATTCCTGAGGCATCCAGCAGTGAATCAGAGCTGCTGCCAGGCAGGTAATGGTCCCTGTCCTCCTTTCAGCCCAGCAAGCGCTCTGCCTTGGAGCTGTGTGGCAGGAACGACGGCAACATCAAGGTGATCTTCCCCGATGCCGAGGTGGAGGATGCTGCCGGGTGCCAGGCTCCAGCCAGGGCCCAGCCAGGGGACTACGTGCTGGTGAAGGTGACCTGAGTGCAGTGCTTGCTTCCTCTTTTCCTTGCTGTTCTCCAGAGCAGCTGCTGCCAGGAGAGCCTGAAATCAGCACAGGTCCTCCTCAGTGTCTGTTCCTTGTGCTGCTGCCTTCAGGTAACCTCGGCCAGCTCCCAGACCCTGAGGGGGGTTCCACTCCGCCGCACAACCCTGTCCCGCTCCGCAGCGGGTCACTGAGCTGTCCCTGCTGCTGCTGGACAGAAGCAGCACGTCTCTCCAGGAGGAAAGGGGGAAGTTTGGTCAGGAGATGGGGTAGAATCAGGGACATCTGTGTATATCGGAATATATTATGTGTGAATAATAATAATACATATATTTCTGGTTTGGCAACACTCTCCCTGTCATCCATCTGTGCACGTTTGTGGGCGAAAGGGGTGGCAGCTGGGTGTGAGCTGCCCAGCCCATGTACTTTGTAAGGCTGTATTTTCACTTACTCTGGGGCTTTGCCTGCCCTTGCAGTGCTGCAGGGCTGGCCTCTGGCTTTGGTCACCTCCTCTCATGCAGCCCAGGTGGAGGAGTGCCCTGCAGTACTGCTTTCAGCTCACTTCCCTGTGCAGCCTGATCCATGGCCCTCACAAGGGCTGACACAGACCTTTCCCTGCTATAATCTCCTCCCCACAGGCACCTCTTCCCAGCGGGAAGCGTGGCTGCAGGGTGCCTTCCATGAGGCCAGCACCGGTGGTTTTACAGTCATTACTGTAAGAGCAAGGAGGAGAGCTGGGTTTTGCTGGGGACGTGACCACGCTCACTGCACAGGCTCCCTGAGGAGCCACAGTGCTCTCCATTTACCTCGCCTCTTGGTTTTTATTGGCCTTGGGGCTGAGGTTTTAAGGCAGTGGAGCCTCTGTTAGGACGTGCTTACAGTGCCCTTGGAGGCTGGATCAGTTCTTTGCTGCTGCCTGGAAGCAGGAATGTGATTTTCTCGGGGCTACAGATGGGATGTGTCACTTGCCAGATTTGCTCCCCAAATTCGGCTGCTGGGAAAGCTGAACATGGGCCTCATACCCATTCCTATGTGTTTCCTTTGCCAGCCTGAACAGAGAGAGCCCAGAGCTCTGTGGGGCTTTACCTTCCGCAAGCCAGTTGTGCCTGTGCACTGTGCTTGCTGGTGGGAGCTGAAGGGCTGTGGTGGTTTGGGAAACCTCTGCAATGGGAAGGGGTTGGTTCTGCTGGGAATGCTGGGGTCCAGACCAGAGTACTGGTTAGTGTGAACAGGAGTTGTACCTGCTCTGTAGAGAAACACAGATCCAGGCTTGCCAGGGACTATCTGGGCTGTGTTACCAGCAAAGAGGCTTCCCAGGTTTTATTATCCAGTGTTTAGAAGCCTTAATCTCAACCACTTCCATGACTGTCCTCATGAGGCGCATCCTGTAACAGAGCTCAGTCCTTACCTTGCTCAGAACAAGTTCTGGTGTTCCTGAGGGGTCCCAGGAGGCAGCAGCCCTGTTGCAGTCTGAAAGCTGCTCTTGTCCTTCTGCAGAGGAGCTGGAGGCAGCCCCTGCCCGGCTCTGCTTGCTCCTGGGCTCCTCAGAGGAAGCCACGATGGGCTGGATGCTGGGTGGGATTTTGTTTCAGGGATGACTCAGGAGTCCTCGGCTCCAGCCCTCCATCCTGAACCCCTCCTCTCTGCAGCCCAGTGTTGTGTGTGCTCAGCCTGCCTGCATCCACTCGCTTGGGATGGAAACTGTGAGGAATCCCACCACGGGACCAGAAGTCAGGGATAAAAAAAGCACATCAGAACAAAGGAGGTATTTATGGACACGGGTTTGGGGTTGTCTGCTCCTTCTGCTGTTCAAATGCCTCTGGTTCCAAGTTCATGCTCTCCTACTGATTTGTGCACTGGGCATGGACTGTGGCACTGCTGAGGAGCCCCCTGAGCTGCTGTAGCTGTCAGTAAAGGTTGAGGACACAGCCCGGGACATGGCTCCACCCCAGCATCACCAGTGCATGGTGACAAAAGCCTTAGTGCTGCTGGGAGTGGGTCTGTGCTGTGCTGTGTGTCCCCAGCTGGGCCCTGCGGCCCCTGCCCTGGAACACCTGCCTCTCATTTGCGTTAATGGGGTCTCTGATTGAAGGAAAGGCTCGTTCCAAACACAGCCTCTGCAAAGCGGCCCTGGGGACCCTTTCTCCTTCACAGCTCTCGATTCCACAGCTTCTTCCTGATTCACAGCGGGACGGGGCCGGGTTTGGGGTAAGTGACAGGGATCAGTGCTCACAGGAGCTCACGCCACTGCTCAGAGCATCTCACACGAGGCGCGATGCTCCCGCTGCTGCCGAGCATCAGGAGTCCTGTGGCTCCCTGGCTGCTGGGCTGGGGCTCCCTGGCCATCCTGCGGGCTCAGCCGGTGCCTCTGGGGGTGAGCAGAGCCCTGCCCAGCGGCTCCTCCTCAGAGCACACAAACGCTCCTGTGCCTCCCGCAGCCGCCCGCGGCCAGGCCCGCACCGGGTTCTCCCAGCACAGAGCCGAGGTGCGGGGGGGACCCCTGCTCCCAGGCACTCACTGCCCCCCCAGCACCTCCTGGCCCGGGATTTCACAACCCTCCCGCACGTGTTCCCCTGCTGGCAGCGTGCGCTGGGCATCGCCACGGGCACAGAGAGCTTCACGTGGCAGGAAGGTCTCTGGCAGAGGGAACAGGAGCCCCATTGTTCTCTGGAGCGCATCGCGGAGCTGGGGAACGAACCTGTTTGTCCGCAGGTCCCGGCTGGGCTCGGGCGGGGGGGGGGACAGGCGGCAGCGGGCGCTCTTAGCTCGGCACAGCCGTTACCAGCCTGAGGGCAGCGTTGTCTGCTCTACCCCTGCCCAGCCTTGTGCCCATGGCCAAGGCTCGGACCAGCTCCCTCCCCATGCCCAGGGGATGTCACTGGGGCAGAGAGGCTTTGCTCTTGCCAGCCCTTTCCCCCCGGCCTCCTCCTCCTGCACCACCCCTGCTATGAGCCGGGCTCCATGGGGGTCTCCTGCAGGGGGTTTTCATCACCATGGCTGAAGGTGTTTGCGTGAAGCTTTGGGGTTGGATGCAACACAGAGAATGTTTTAGGGTTTCCATTTCTAAACTCATTTGTACCTTGAGTTCATTCCTGTCGGGAACGGGCTGTGCTTGGGCTCCAGCAGGAAGGGCACGGCTGCTCCTAAAGGCTCCTTCAGACACTGAATTCCTCTGTGCTGGCAACTCGAGGTGCTCTCCATTACAGCACCGGGCAGTGCCTGGGTCCCAGTGTCCTCGCACCAGCCCCAGGCTCCTCCACAGCCCACCCAGCACCAGAGTCAGCATTTCCATCCAGGCAGCACCCTGGAGTGCTGCTGGCTGTGCATGGAATTCCAATGGGATGTGAACGGCACCCCCGGCTCTCCAGGGCTTTGTGAATGCAGAGTGGATCTCACACGTCTGTCACAGCAACTGCTGCTCTGGGGCCTGTGCCTTCCCTCCTCCCTTGCGAGCAATTTGCTCCTGTGCTGACAGCCAGCTATTGACTTCTGGTTCTCCTGGAGATGAGCTGTCCTGTCTCATCAGCTTTAAATTAGCTTTATCTTTAGCCTTTGCTATTAATAAGCTCTCACCATGGTGTCATTTCTTGATATCTATTTTCTGATGCTTTTCATTAATGGCTCCCTATCTTCCAGATATTTCTATTCAAGTCTTTTCCCCGCTGTCTGAGTTATCCCAGAGCCACCCAGGGCTCAGTGAGGGGCGGGTGGGCAATGCTGGGAGCTGAGGTGACACCGGGGTGTCTCTGCTCCCCTCTAATCCCACCCAGGGCTCAGTGAGGGGCGGGTGGGCAATGCTGGGAGCTGAGGTGACACCGGGGTGTCTCTGCTCCCCTCTAATCCCACCCAGGGCTCAGTGAGGGGCGGGTGGGCAATGCTGGGAGCTGAGGTGACACCGGGGTGTCTCTGCTCCCCTCTAATCCCACCCAGGGCTCAGTGAGGGGCGGGTGGGCAATGCTGGGAGCTGAGGTGACACCGGGGTGTCTCTGCTCCCCTCTAATCCCACCCAGGGCTCAGTGAGGGGCGGGTGGGCAATGCTGGGAGCTGAGGTGACACCGGGGTGTCTCTGCTCCCCTCTAATCCCACCCAGGGCTCAGTGAGGGGGGGTGGGCAATGCTGGGAGCTGGTGACGGGTGGCTCCCTCTAATCCCACCCAGGGCTAGTGAGGGGGGTGGGCAATGGGAGCTGAGGTGACACCGGGGTGTCTCTGCTCCCCTCTAATCCCACCCGGGCTCAGTGAGGGGGGGTGGGCAATGACACCGGGGTGTCTCTGCTCCCCTCTAATCCCACCCAGGGCTCAGTGAGGGGCGGGTGGGCAATGCTGGGAGCTGAGGTGACACCGGGGTGTCTCTGCTCCCCTCTAATCCCAGCCTGGGCTCAGTGAGGGGCGGGTGGGCAATGCTGGGAGCTGAGGTGACACCGGGGTGTCTCTGCTCCCCTCTAATCCCAGCCTGGGCTCAGTGAGGGGCAGGTGGGCAATGCTGGGAGCTGAGGTGACACCGGGGTGTCTCTGCTCCCCTCTAATCCCAGCCTGGGCTCAGTGAGGGGCGGGTGGGCAATGCCGGGAGCTGAGGTGACACCGGGGTGTCTCTGCTCCCCTCTAATCCCAGCCTGGGCTCTGCCACCCTGGTGCTCTCATGAGCCAATAGAGTAATTCAAATACCCCCATGAGGCCAATGAGGTGCAGTCCATGGGGACAGCGGGGTTGGGCTGGGAAGAACAGGATGATTCTCTGAGAATCCCTTTTCACACGAGTCCCAGGGGACAGATGGGCAGTGATGGGCACAAGTCACTCCTGGGGGGTCTGGCTGAACACAGGGGACAGGTTTTCCCAATGAAAACAGGCAGCATTGGAATAACCTCCCCAGGGAAGTGCTGGACACTGGTAAGGTTTGGCTGGACAGGATGCTGGGATGTTCTCACCCCTCTTAGCAGAACTTTCCCTAGGAAACTGGAAGTGAATGGGAATTATCTCCCATTATTTCAAGGGGCCATGCCTGGGGTTTCTGTTCCTGCTGAGGCACCTTCCAAGCAGCCAGGGAGCCGGCTCAGGGATTGACTCACCCTATCTTCAGTGGCAGCAAAGCAAACACCGCTGGTGTTGAAAACACCCAAATCTCCTCCGTCTCCTTCCCAAGACCAGGAAAATGCATCCCTGGGCTTCATCCCAGGAGTCGATTACATGGGGCAGGGCAGGGGTGGGACGAGGGGGGAGAGGATTGATGCAAGCCCAAACCTCGCTTCTCGTGCCAGTGAGGGGAAAGGTGCCCGGTTCCCAACAGGAGCCCTGGTTTGGCTGTGGCCGGGCCGTGACAGAGCCGTCGGTGAGGGAT